TTCTTACAATATATTAAAAATAACTCCATCTGTTTTTAGTTATATTTGGATTCTTCCAAAAATCTGCAATAATAAACATCTTAAATAATTGATTTCACAAAATAATAAAGTCTACAATTATTTTTGTTTAATAGGACTAAATTCTGAAATTTTTTAATTAGTATTTCATAGATTTTAGAAATTACTTATGTAGATACTTTAATGAAATACTGAAATTTCTGTTGTCATGCACGAAAGAGCAAATTAGCCATCCCCCCCAATTTTTTCCCCTATTTATTCTTTGACATCACTCAATGGGATATCTTCCTGTCTGTAAAAGATTTTTTCCAAAATGATTGAAAAATTTTGTTTTCTTTGTGTCATGTTCAATTCCAAATTTAACCAAGATTAATAATTATTTGATGATCAATTGACAATTTATTTATCTAAGAGGATATCTTTTTTGTTGCAACCATGATAATTACTGCATGAGGCCAGTCTCTTAGAGGCAAAAAGTAATTAATTTCCTATTTAAACATAAATACTAACGTAGAAATTAACACCTTTCATACAACACAACCAAATTCAATCCAAGTTTATAGTCTATCCGGCCAACATGTGATCCACTGGAGGCTGGCGGTGGTGGTTGTGGGTCCGGCAGTGTTAAAGGTAGTCCGGTGGTGGAAAAAATATTTTATTAAAAAATTATCCATAAAATTTTGAAAATATTCATGGAAAACACTTTTTAAATCACATTCTAAACTCAAAACAAAAATCAAAATAAAATGTTGTCCATACAAGTAACTGTGGGGATCACAATTAAGTTTTCAACTGTATATACCTATCCGTGAGCACTCTAATAAAGAAAAATTATTGTTGCAGCTTGCAAAATGAAATATCACCAGCCAAAGTTATTTTATACCGACGTTCTAAAAACAACAGCAAAAGGGCATGTTTCTTTCGAACAATTGAGAGCCACTTTCCAACTTTCTCTTTGTGTCCGGAATCTATCCAAAAAATAAAATACATAAGGCGGGTTGTGTTAGTAAGCAACTTAGAGACACTTTTCAACTTCTTGCCTTGCACAAATGTAAAACGTTAGTAAGCAATGGTTCCAGTGGATGGAATCTATAATTAATTTGATCATAATAAAAAAGACAAATAAAAAGGACATATTTCCGGCCAACTTTCTAAACCCTAATATTCTGTTCCCCAACGTCTCAACATCACCTCTCCGCCGTCAAAGTAGCCCAGAAAAAGAGTCTTATTGATCGTTTTTGTTGTTGGTTTTTTTTTTTTAGAATTTATTTCTCGGGCAATCCAAAAAATTACCAGCCCTCTTTGTTTGAGTCGCCCCTTTCATCGTCTCTTTCTTTTGTTTTATAAATTTTGATTTTGTCTCAAACATTTTGTTCTCGTCGCAGTGGTCTATATTCGAATATTTTCTATTCATTCTTGAATTTCATGGGTTTTTTTTTTTTTTTTTTATCTTAGTCTATGTGGCTTGGTAAAAAAACCCAGAAAAATAGCTGTGAAATTCAAGAATGAATAGAGCATATTCAAAGATAGACCACCCCGACAAGAACAAAATGTTTGAGACATCAAAGTTAAGAAAACAAGGGAAAGAGAAGATGAAAGGGGTGACTCAAACAAAGAGGGCTGATAATTTAGTTGGATTACCCGAGAAATAAATTCTAAAAAAAGAAAAAAAAAACCAACAATGAAACGATCAATAACGAGGCTCTTTTTTTGGGCTACTTTGGCGGAAGGGAGGTGATGGTGAGACGTCGGTGAACAGAATATTGGGGTTTAGGAAGTTGGTCGGAAATACTTTTATTATTCTATTTTTTTTAGTTCTGATCAAAGACCTGTGGGACCCACAATCCATAAAATAAAAAAAAATATAACGAAAAAATAAATTGGGCCATTAAGTTTTTGAAAATTCTGGTAAAGTGACTAAAATTGTAGAAAAAAGGATATTAGGGGTAAACTAACATTCAGTAAAAAAACTAATAAAAAATTTTAAAAAACTTAACGAAGAAAAGAATTAACCGTTAGTTGACCATAAATTCCATTAAATTGACTAAACTTGGGGAATAAACAAAAAAACAGTAACCAATTTTGTTGACCGAAACTTTATAGTGACTCGAAGTTGTGACCCCCCAAACATAAAGGACCAAAAATGAGTTTTTCCAATAAAAACCTATATTTTCAATGACCATTATCTCAAGATAATTTTGAAGTTCAGTGCACGTGAGGATTCAGTTCTACCAGGAATGTATTTGTAGACATCTTCGAGTGTGTATCACTTTAACTCTTGTTAGAGCATCCTGTTATGTTAAAATTTTTTTAATCAATAAATTTTAACAAGAACAAAACAAACCCGTATCTCATTATTATGCGTACGATGAAATTAAGAAATATTTCATGGTTACATTTTAAAACTTAAATTAGAGTAAGATAGCACATTTAAATACCGAAAGATTTAAATAACATCCGGATATGTTTATAAACTAATTAAGTAATTTATATGATAATTCTATTTGTTTTTTGTGATTTTGAGTATTATCTTTTGGTGTTCATTAGGTGATAACAAAAAATGCATCTTCTATCTTCAATTGAAATTTAAAACAGAATTGAAAAAAATATATAACAGTAAAATTCAGAAACCACATTGAAAAAAACAACTTTGACGTATATACTGTATATAATTGTGACACTTGTTCTTTCAGATTTTTTTAATTAAACCACAACCTCACTTTTCATGAAAGTCCCCCTCTTAATGTATAAGGATAAGATATGTTTTATCATTTGAAAAACTAGAATATATAATAAATAGTCTAAATCATGTATTAAAGTTTGTGTAATTGAAAGTGTATAAAAGGATTGTTGATTTACTCATAATTTTCTGAGTTTGTATTTTTCTGATTACACAGTTATTCATTTTATTGCATGGTTTGTAAATTTTGTTTTAGGTCTACTGTATGATGTTTTAATAAATTAAACTTTTTTGAGGAAAATAAATTAATTACTGAAGCAATTACTGAATTTCATGAAAATTTTATTGCTATCTAATAATTTTTTTTTTGCCGATTGGCGGTTGCTAAACTACATAAGCAATTACTGAATTTCATGAAAAAGACAAATACGTGTATTTTTTAGCAAAATAATTACTAAATTATACTACATGACTTGTATTATTTTTATTACAAAGAACAAAATACATTTTAGGCAAGATCAAGTAAAATTTATGTTTCATAACTTACCTATGAAATAGAGGAAGTTAAGGAGAAAAGACTTGTCTTTGCAGTTTTTTTTAAAGCTTTTTTTGCTTTTTTTTTTTTAGAATGATAAACTATTAATTTTTCATGTTTATTTCAACTTAAGTTTTTCTTCCTCATTTTCTTTATGTTAAAGTTTTTATAATCCATGAAATAAAACAGTAAATTAATTATTAAAATTTAATAATTATTTTAGTATCAATACATACAAGTCAGGAAATATAAGAAAAAGAATCTCAAAAAAAAAAGAAGAATGAAAAAAGAAATTAAAATTTTAAAATTTAAAATGACAAAATTACCCCTCAACCTAATTAACATGTGTTGCAAATGAAAAATAAATTTTGAAAATAAATTATTATTTTCTTAAAGATCATATAGTCTATTTTGATGATCATGAAAAGTAATAAAGAGAAATAAAATGAAATAGGAAAAAATAAATAAAAAGAGACTATTTTGTTATTTATATATATTTTAGGGTTATTTTACAATTTTTTGAAACTATCGGGGTATTTTTAATTGAAAATTAACGGAAATCCGTTAAATTTAACGGAAATTGAACCAATTAGGCAGAACTGACAAAAATTTCAAACAGTAAGGACAAAATTGACTAACCGAAAATAAATAGGATAAAATTGATGATGGACCCAAAATTTTGTGTATAACGCCAATTTTTCCATACTATGAATATGGTTCTAGCTTTTCCAGTTCAGTTGTTCTATGGAGCATTAGGTAGCACCAGGCGGGGGCACTCACCATTTTTTTTCCACTTTTTTTTTTAATTTTTTTTAAAACTTTATTATTTTTATTATTTTTAAATCCTTACCTATTTGAAATTCTTAAACATTTTTAAGCCTATACCTTTTATTCGGTTTAAATCCTTTTAATTCAATTATGCTATAATCTCGTAACCTAATTAAATTAAAAAAATTTATGAGTTAATATGTTACGTCACACATTAAATCCTAACTTAATTGAAATGATTAAACACTCTTAAACCCTAAACCTTAATCACTATACTTTAACCTAATTAAAAATGATTAAACTTTCCTAAACTTTAAATACTAATCACTAGACCCTAAATTAATTGAAATGCTTAACCCCTCTATACCCTAAACACTAAACAAACTGTATTTTTTACCTTAACCTAATTGAATTAAAAAAAATTCAGACTCTAACTTAATTGAATGAAAAAATTTTATAAATTATTCATGTTATTATGTCACATATTGGGCCCTGATCTATTAACTGTGTGTAAGGAGTGGCTGAAATTTCATTCAAAAAATTATTTTAAATGTTAAAAAAAACTAAAATACAAATTTAAAATCAAAAAGAAAAAAAAAAGTGAGCAGGCGCGCGCGGGTGCAGTATAATTTGCGTTTCCAGTTTGCATGTAGTATTACACAATCTGCGCAACTTTCTCAACCAATCAAAATCTCTCAAAATCCCTCCTTTTCTTCCCTTGCTCTGCCACGTGGCACATCGATCACCACCCACCCTTTTTAACCCTCTTTCTTTCTCTCCCACTAATTTTATATTGGCAAAAAAAAAAAAAAGGGCAAAGAAAATTAAGAAAAAATTTGTGGCAAAACTCCGACCACCACCGCACACCGACCTCCCTACGGCGCTCGAGAACACACAGTCACACACTAAAGACTAAAAATTACTCTGCATGCGACGAATTCAGTTTCATTAGTGTAATCTGAACCTGGAAATTTTGATTTTCAGCTTCGGTTTGATAAAATGGCAACTGTTTCAGCTGCCTTCTCCACTTCGATTTTAGTAAACCAAGTCAATTTCATCTCTCCTAGTACTTCCGGCAGGCGTCTACGGATTCTTGTCCATAGAAAGATCAATTTTGATTTCAAACACAGTTCAGGTCGCCGGAGTGGAAGAATTTCGGCGGCGAGGAAAGAAGGCACGGCGGTGGTGGATGAGAAGGAAGATGAGTATTTGAATAAATTGAATGGGAGTTTGAATGGAAGCTCCAACGGAAGCTACGGTTTGAACGGTTCAGCGTCTGACAAGTTTGGGAATGGCGGAGTGGTTGCAACGGAGAGTGGAAGTGAGAGTTTAGTGAAATATGTAAATGGGAATGGGAATGGAGGAGTGCGGAGCAGTGTGGGTGATCTTGTGGAATTGAAAGCAGAAAAGGAGAACAAAAAGAAGAAAAGCGTGGAGGAGATTGGGCAAGAAGAGGCTTGGTTCAAGCGAAGTGGGGGCGATCAAGTCGAGGTATGCATATGCTTCCATTTTTGTGCTAATTGAACCTTGTGACAGTCATCCTATGTAAACTATGTTTCTTGAGTTTATTAAACGATGTTTATGGGTTCATTAGAGGTTATAAAGTGTCTGTTCTTGGCTTATGAAGTAGGCAAGTGCTGGGTTTAGGACAGGAGTTTATGCCATTTTTTGTTTGGAGACATTATGTGGGTCATACCCACATTGGTTAATTGCATATGGGCTTAGCACTGGTAGAATAACTCAGCCATAAACCTGAAATTGTTCATCAGGAAGGGATGGGTTTTGCTATTATGCAGAAGTTTTGTTGATGATGCGGGTTACTCTTAAGACATGAGCATAAAAGTTGCATTTTTGGGATTGGATTAAGGAAAAGCTTGTTGGTCGTGTAAATTAGAGTTTGGATTTAGCAACTTAATTGAAATGGTTTTTGGAATCCAGATTTCTAGTTAACAGATAAATGCATAAAATTGTTCTGTGAAAGGTTTTGAGATGTTTTAGAATAGCATAATTAGTAACTTATTTTGGTAAAGCCTAAAAATGCTGTACAATTTCTTTAGGATCACTTACAAAAGTAAAATATCTATGATATTCTTGAAGAGCATCTGCCTGAAAACTCTGGCACCTTTGTCTTAGCTCTGTTTCTTTGTCTAGCCTTATCTTCTCAAATGCAATTGCCATATCTTTAGTTCCCACCAAAAAAAGAGAAAATCTTGTGATCAGTTCTATTTTATTAGTTAGACCTTTGAAGTATGTTTAGTACAATAATGTTAGACCTATGCCAACAGTTATAATTGATGAGATGTTGACATGGTTTGGAGAAATATTTTCAACTTTTTGGTGCGTGGAAGTATCTCAAGTTGTTCTATCCATTGAGGAACAATGTTGAGACTATCATGGGCATGTTTGCATGATTTTGTCCAAATTATGGTTAGGACTTTGGAAGTTGGTTGTTCCATCCAATGAGGGACATTGTTCAAAATTTTGTTGCCACTAATGCAGGAATTTTTTTTTCCACATAATTTTGGCACTGAAATCAAGTATACAAAGAAATCATATATCTGTCAGTAATTGCATTTGATTAGAGTTTAATGAGTATATTTACAAGGTTAAAAGAAACATATTACACAGATTGGAGTTTGGTAGTGTCTCAAGTAAGTTGTTTTCCTTAATGTGGAACCATTTAAAATACTTTGACTATTATGCCATTCTGAATGAAAAGGTTAAGGTTCATGACGCTAAGGGGAAAGCTACGAGACCCATCGAAATCATGGAAACAGCTCTCCGTATCTTTGTTGTTGTTCTTCTTAATTGTTTATGTGATTATTCATATCAGTTGTTATTCACCTTATCGGGAATATGATGTTCCAATGAAACTAAAGTATCAGAACTTCGAACTTCTGACTTCATCTCTGTCACAGTTTACTGCTTTACATAAGAATGGACTGATTTTGTGTTTTTGCAGGTATCTGTTGCTCCTGGGGGCCGATGGAGTAGATTTAAAACATATTCAACAATTCAAAGAACCATGGAAATTTGGGGATTTGTTATAACATTTTTATTTCGAGTTTGGTTAAACAACCAGAAGTTTTCCTACCGAGGTTAGTCTCTTTCAGAGTGCACTGTGATAAATAATGTGCATGCTCACTTTAATGGGTATGAAAAGGCTGAAGCATGCTTAATTTATAAATCAAATGAGGTACAATTAGTCATTCTAAAACATTGACCGCCCTTAGCAATTGTTGGTCGGTTGGGATTAATATGTTGGGAGTGAGATAGATTTTCAATCAGTTTTGATTAATGGTTTTAATGATACACCCCTGAATGATTGTTTCTTTTTTTTTTTAGATCTTTTCCTCTATCATGTCAAGTGTTGTAGTAGTGTTTAGAGTTCTTCAGTCAATAAAGTAAGTTTCTAATGATTTTTCTGAATGTTTGATACAGTTTCTTAATGTATGTTTTGTTTTTAGAAACCCAAAAGTTTGTCATTGTTTCTTAATGGACTAAGTGATTTGATCTATTCGTGTCCTGTAAATTTTTGTACCTTCTAATGCACCTTATTTTTGGGACCTGTCAATTAAAGTTGGGCACTTTAGAGCAGCATAGATTCTTAAACCCTCACTTCTTGAATAGCTTTGAAATATATAAATTTCTTAACATAGTAGCTAAGAAAATTTTGAACCAATGGTGTTCGTTGCTTATAATTAAGTTTAATGGCTGGTTAATTAAATTGAATAAATCATGCACGCAGGTGGCATGACCGAGGAGAAGAAAGTTCAGAAGCGCAAGGTCCTTGCTAAGTGGCTTAAGGAAAACATTCTGAGATTAGGACCTACATTCATTAAAGTTGGCCAACAATTTTCTACAAGAGTGGACATTCTCGCTCAAGAATATGTGGATCAATTGTCAGAGCTGCAGGTCGATATGCTTCCTTGAAATATACTTATGTTTCATGGCATCATTGCTATTATTGTGTTTTTTTTTTTGGGTCCAAGCTTTCCTTTCTTTTCCCCCTAACATATCTAATTAGCTATCCAATGAACATACACGGTGAAGCTTTTCAATCACCGAGCTGGGAACTAGTTTGAGAACTATTCAACAATTATGCAACGTGTTTCATTGAAGCATCTTAATAAATCTGAAACAATATTATAAAAGGGAAGACCGTTTCCAGAGAGTTCAACCTGGATAGAAGTTCAAGAAACATGTAACTGCAAAATTTGAAGATGTCTTATCAAAATACATTCTACTTTGGAAGAATGGTTGCAAATAAAATGGATGGTTGAATGCATTTTTGTGCATGCCAGAAATTCTGACTTCTGAGCATGCTGAATAGAAATTGAATCCGTCAGAGATAAGCATGAGGATCTTTGATTAAATAAAAGAGTCATCAGAAGTATATCTTTGAAATAGATGTGTTAAGGAACCTTTGGAGAATATTATTTCGCTTTGATGAGAAGAGTTTTCATGAGACTATATTGACATCCTACCCTTATACAAGGGACGGCAATAACTTAGTTTTGTTGTTTTCCAGGATCAAGTACCTCCATTTCCGTCAGAGACTGCTGTAGCTATTGTTGAGGAGGAGCTTGGGGCTCCAGTGGATGACATATTCCAGCGGTTTGATCGTGAGCCTATTGCTGCTGCCAGTCTCGGTAAAAAACCCGTATTTGATTCAATGTTTTCAGATACCATTATCAACTCAGACATATAATGTTCAGTAACAATGTTAACTAGTCTTCTCTTTGGTATCTCTATAAATGAGTAAGGTGTTAATGTGCTATGTTTCTTTGCAGGTCAGGTCCATCGGGCTAAAATGAATGGGATGGAGGTTGTTGTCAAAGTGCAAAGGCCTGGACTTAAGGATCTTTTTGACATTGATCTTAAAAATCTAAGGGTACTGAAAGAAATTTTTATAATTTTTTTTAACCTTTCAATGTTCATGCTTCTTAAAATTCGGTAGAAGTTGTTGCTTGACCTCAATGTGAGTTGATATGCTTGGATCTTCTTTATCCTAGTTTTCATGAATGACAGTGTATTAAATTGTTACAGTTGAGGGGTACTTAGAAAATCATTGGAAATCCCTATGCGGTGCCACAAACAATATTCTCTCCAGTAATTGTTCTGACAATTTAAGTAGCCTAAATTGTTTTATTGGAAGGTTCTTTTACCATTTTTTCCCCACAGGTAATTGCTGAGTTTTTCCAAAAAGTTGATCCGAAGTCTGATGGTGCAAAGAGAGATTGGGTTGCCATATATGATGAGTGTGCAAGTGTTTTGTATCAGGTACTCACTCTTTGTCTCTGCATGTAGTTGTTGCAAGGAAATCTGGAATTGTGGCTGAAGGAAAAGCATTCACAGAACTGAAATACAATAGTAGCTTCACAAACATATCCTGACTTAGGAGTTAAAAAAATTGAATCAAATTTTGTATGGACACTAAGGAGAAATCAAACAAAAACAAAAATATCTAAGTCTTAATTATCTGATCATGCGTAGTCCCAAAAGAAGAGTCATGCTTAAATTTTTCTAATTTCATCACCGTTATTAATATGATAATGTGATCTCCATTATTTAAATGGATTTAATGGAAGACCAGCTAAGTATATGCTACTTCTCGTGTTTACCTCACAACTCATAATAAATTTTACTCTTTCAAATAGAATAAGAAAAGAAACACTTGCTGTAGGTGCAGGTTTGAATCCTAAACAGGATTCCATAAGTTTGTTAGTCTTCAAATCCCAACTTCTTGGAGGCATTTCTATGCCTCAATTGCAATGTTACCGGGGATCTGTTGCAGTGTCATTTATCATCACTTGTAGTGTTCTTTTTTTTCTATTTTAACAATTTGAACTTTGCAAATTTTACCTTTCCTCAGGGTAATTCACCTTATCTGATTTCATTATTATTATTGAATATTTCAATGCATTATGAAGAATTGAAGATATCTCGTCCATGGATCCTTTATTACATCACCAGTTGAAACATTTTCATATGCATCCTTTTTGTATACATCCTCTTGTTTTCTATTTGCACATTTGTTCAATGTGTGTGTGTGTGTGTGTGTTTTTTTTTTTTTTTCTTCTTTCTGTTTTTAAGTTTGATGTATATAACTTGAGGTTTTTTGTTCAGGAAATTGACTACACAAAGGAAGCCGCAAATGCCGAGCTGTTCGCGAGCAACTTTAAAGAAATGGATTATGTCAAAGTTCCCAAGATATTTTGGGAGTACACCACCCCACAGGTTAAAGCCTCAAGAATTCTGGATTTCAATTCTTGGATTGTACTGTTTATGTGATCAGTTTTATCTTAGTACGACTTCTCTGAACTTGCAGATTCTGACCATGGAATATGTACCGGGCATAAAAATTAATAGGATAAAAGCTTTAGACGAGTTGGGAGTTGATCGGAAGAGGTATGTACCGTACATAATTGCTCGAACAAAATAGTACTTCTTTTTATTTATTTATTTTTTTGGGTAACGGAGACTAGTAGTTCTTGATCTGACATGTTCCAACTGATTCATCAGATTGGGTCGATATGCAGTTGAGTCTTACCTTGAACAGATTTTATCTCATGGATTTTTCCATGCTGACCCTGTAAGTAACGATGACCTTTCAATTTCTGCCTTTTAAGGTTGACTGAAATATCTGTAGGGGAAGTTCTACTGCAAATATTACACTCTTATTGCCCTTTGCTTTAAATGGAGAGAAAAAGAATCCAACCATGAACTGATTATGCAGCATCTCCTTGTTTTGCCATTGTAATTCAATCACCTATCTTTTTTTTTTTTTTTTCCAAAGGTAGCAAGTGGACTACCAATTGAGTTTCTTAATGTACGTTTATGGATTAAGTAATTGTACCATCATTTAGAATGTCTTAGCACATTAGATAACCGTCTGTATGGTCCACCTACTTTTCAACCTGTCCAATTGCTACTAAATGTATGTTAAAATAAGGAATATGCTTGGGATATAACTGACTTTAATGGAGGACTGAAGTTGAAGAATCTGATAAATTTACTGTCTTAAAGACGAAAAATCTTTTATTTTCAATTCGACGTGTGATTAGCAGCAATGTAGCGCAGCATCTGTATAAGTAACCTAGCTTCTTAATGATCCAACTGATTTGTCAGAAGTTAATATGTTTTGCAGTATATATCTTAGGAAGAATTTTCTTTCCCTTTAAATCATTGTTTTTAGACAAAGGTAATGGTTGACAGGGATTGTCAAGTCTCTGCTGAAGTTTGATCATGTAGGTTTTGTGTGACGATTTGTTATAATTCTGGGACTCATTTCTCTTACTTTTGTCAAGAACTTTGAGATGTATGAATGGATTGATTGAATGAAAATGATCCTGAAATGGAAACTAGGAAGGATGTACTTCTTTGCTTCAATCGCTGGACAATTAATCTAACAGTACAACAACACCACCAATTATCTCCAACAGCAGAAATATAGAATCTTCATTTGTTTCCAGTTTGTTGCTTTTGTGAAATCTAAGCTGATTTTTCGGAAAAACCGACATGTAGAGTCTCTCCTTTTCTGTTCTTTCATCTACTTTTACTTCCATTTCTTGTGTTCACGAGGATGGCCAAATTGGTTGAAGATCAAGATGACTATCTGATTCAGTTGTCACAATGCTTTTTGGAAAGTATTACTACATTCAGCCTTTCTATCAACTCTGAAAATGACAATGTCTCAGTTTCTTTGAAATGAGTTTAAAGGGCATTATTTATCTACTAGAATTTGACAGTCTACTGATTGTGTGGATTATTTGGCAGCTAGTTTGACTTTTATTAATCTTATCTGCAGCACCCTGGTAACATTGCTGTGGATGATGTCAATGGTGGGAGGTTGATTTTTTATGACTTTGGAATGATGGGAAGGTATATTTCGCGATTCTTGCTTCTTATTGCTGGATGGTTCTCTTCGGAAAGAATATATTCTATTGCAACTGTTGATTTATTGTGGCCTTCTGCAGTATAACCCCAAATATCAGAGAAGGTCTGCTGGAAGTTTTTTATGGAGTTTATGAGAAGGATGCAGATAAGGTGATTTTTCTCAATTATTTATTCCTTCAGAACCTTATTTTTTGTACTTCATATCATACCTTGTGTTGATTCCAACCAATATATCGTTATGAAGGAAAAGCTGTTTTTTCATCGCAGGTCCTCCAAGCAATGGTTCAAATGGGTGTCCTCGTGCCTACCGGAGATATGACTGCTGTCAGACGAACTGCTCAGTTCTTTCTTAACAGGTCTGAACTCAAATTCCATGAACTTTCTTACACTGTAACCTTAGTTTGGCTGATTGCTTGAGATTATCTTACAGTACACAGACAATGTCATTGAGTAGCTTAAATTTGAACGAAGAACATTCTCATAGATTCTAAGATCTGACCATGAACACTGAGCTGGATGTTCATTTGCATGATGCCTTAAGCTTACTGAGTATAGGTAGTAACTAAGGGATGTTCCAGGGCATGTTGAGATGAAATAATATATGAAGGCTTCTTTTGTTAATAAGGGTATGTTTCTGGAGTGAGCTGGAGAATACGTAAAAGTGCATCTTCTGTAATTTTTTTATAGTACCACTAAAGTTGAAAGGAAATTTATGTTTACCAGCTGTACGTTACTAATTATTTAAGAAATCGTGTGTTGGAGAGCAAACTTGATGTTTGAAACAATATAATTCATTGAAAATGATATAAATATTCGACTTGCTGGTGTAAGAATACATAATAAAGAAACTGGAGGATATCCCCATAAGTTGAGAATGATAGGTGAAAGCACACGCTTATGGCGGGCTTCAAAGAGAAGAATTAGAACTGAACGGAGAATCAAATTTTTAACCCTGAGTAGATTTGAAACTGAATACTTGAATGGCGATGATCTTGTAACTAGCAATAGGTTTAGGATAATGTGAAAGTTGGCAGGCATGAACCAGTGTCACTCAGCTTGGGGAAACTGAGCAAATTGAAAAGTTCCCATGTTCCTTTTTGATTGTAAACTTCCACAGACATTGAATGAAAGTATTTAGAACAGCCGAAATGTTTTCTGGATCAAAGTCTCTGGGAAATTAAATACAATATGAGGGAAAACTGTGCATCATAGATGATGGATTTGTTGACACATCAAACTAAATAGATTGGGATGACCTAGTAGTTAGGTAAAGACCAGTTATTGTATTAACTCATTTTTATGGCAAATGGAAAGACCAAGACTGCTAAAGAAACATATTAGATAAATATGGTAGGCTTTATTAAAGAAGTTTCTGTGGAAGATGATGGTGTGACATGAGCCTCACAATGCACCTTGCTAATAGGAGTAGAAGCTAGGTGGTGTTGTTTACAGGCAGGGAAAAGAAAATTAGACAGGTGATTGAAAGTTACAGTGGAACATCAGTTTTAAATGTGACTTTCTTTGGTCCAATGACCACACTGCTGCTACCAATATTTGTCGCGAATAGAAAATTGAAGTCTGACTGACTTTTTGTTTCATGTTTACTGGGATGTAGAAGCCGTGATGCTTTTTTTCTGGTAGGAAATTTTAAATGTGACTTTCTTTTTCAAGAATCTATCAATTTCTTAAAGCTTAATAAAGAAGGAAGTTGTCCTGCACGTTTGTATTGTTTATAGAGACTTGAATTGTTCCAGACCGTGTTAAAGAATTTGCATTTTGATTTCGGAAACTGAGTAAGATATGAGTAACATACTGTTCTTAGGGTTTTTTCTTCGTCTCTCGGTCCCCACTCTTCGGAAACAACATTTCAAAAACTTGTGAGATAAGTATATGTATTTTTGCATCCAAATACAGAAAGTTGTCGCGTGAATGAGTCAGGTTACGAAGTTAAAAGTAAGAGCTATACCTTGGAAGTTTGCACTCACTAACACATTAAAGTAACTTTGTAGCTTTGAAGAGCGACTTGCAGCACAAAGAAAGGAGAGGGAAATGGCTACAAAAGAACTTGGATTTAAAAAGCCATTGAGCAAGGAAGAAAAGATAGAGGTTAAGAAGAAGCGGCTAGCTGCAATTGGTAATTTACTTCTTCTAACTGCTCATCTATTTTCTATTCATTTTTATGCTAGAAATAATTTTTCCGATACTTCAATTCCTTGACATGCTGCATATAACAAGATACAACTTAAGTTGAAAGATAAGAAAACATAGTAGAAAACACTGCTACTAGCTTCTAGAAATTGAATCTAGATGTTTTAGCGTCATCGCACATCAAAATAAAGAGACTTAATTTCAGAAACCAATTGCAAAGGCGAAAATCAAAATATGAGATGTGATGGGTATTCCTTTATTTTAGTTCTACTTGTCGCCTAGAGCAAACAGAATAGTCATAAACTTATAAGGGTATTCCTGTGATTCTCTGTAAGGGTCATCAGTTCTGATTTGCTGTTCGTAACATGTACTGATTTGTGTCACCAGCTGCTGATGTTGCAGTTTATTTTGGCTTTAAGGTTCCCGCTTAGATGATATTCAATTTCTTGCTTTTTCACCCTTTTCTCTCAATCGCAAGTATCTCATTCTCTTTATATGAATGCTGAATTTGTCTCTATTAAATCCGCTTTCAAGACTTCTATCATATCTGTTGATGTACTGTCAAACTCTTATTGCACTTGGTTGGAGGTTACACTCCTGTTAAAAGAAGTTTAAATCTTATACTACCTCTCTCTGGACAGGGGAAGATTTATTGTCCATAGCAGCTGATCAGCCCTTCCGGTTTCCTGCTACGTTCACTTTTGTTGTTAGAGCATTTTCAGGTATTTATTTTGTACATTTTCCTTGCAACTTTTGTTGATTATCGCAAGCATTAACCTCAAAATGTTTCCTCAGTTCTAGATGGCATAGGGAAAGGTCTTGATCCTCGATTTGATATCACTGAGATTGCAAAACCGTAAGTTCAACAAATAATCCACCACACAAACTGTGAGTAGTAATGTTCATCGATTTCTTGCTAATGAATTTGTAAATTTTGAAACCTTGGTAGTTATGCTCTGGAGTTGCTAAAGTTTCGTGAAGCTGGTGCTGAAGTTCTCGTCAAGGTAAAATTTTCTTAACTTTCTTTTTTCTGATAGGTGTGTATGTACCTGCCTTTTGACACCTTGCCACAATTGTCCAGGACTTGAGGAAGAGATGGGATCGACAATCACGTGCATTCTACAACTTATTCAGGCAAGCTGATAGAGTAGAAAAGCTAGCTGAAATTATTCAGCGACTGGTAAGGAGTAGTGGCATCTGAAATTTCTTTTCAATTTCTTCTTTATTCTTGTTACCAATTTTGAGCTGTGTGTCCTCAAAACATTTATGTTTAGGAGCAAGGAGATTTGAAGCTTCGTGTTCGAGCATTGGAATCTGAAAGGGCCTTCCAACGAGTTGCAGCTGTCCAAAAGACAATAGGAAGTGTAAGTTCTTTTTGTTCATTTCACCTTCATTAAGGCTCAGGCCAAAATTTAAAAAAAGCGTTCTGCTTGTTAATTTATGATAATGGACACCTGCTTCACTTTCGTAACTTATTTTCTCAATTGTACTATGCAATGTTAAACTGCACATCTGGACACGTGATGTCGTATTGAGATGTTCTACATTCTACCAGAAGGGATATCTGTCTGATGCGTTGGAGATTTGAACATATAGAAGTTAAAGATGAACATCCTCTGGCCTTCAAAGTTGATGATAGGGTTAATCTTAAAGCACTTAAGTTTTGTGGATTGTCTTTGGCAGATATTATTTTTATTTGAGGATTCAGTTACTAAGAGTTTTTTAGATCATTTTGTGTAGGCAAATTTAGTGCATCGACCTTGATTGTTGTTACCATGACATACTACCTTCATTCAGCTGCTGAACTTTGGAAATCCCAATTATCATAATACTAGTCATCTAGGGTCTGAAGAAATTTTTTATAGGTAAACAGTTGTAGATGAATTTATTCGGCAAAATTGTGAAACAGAAATGTCACTGTTTCCTTCTACAACTTGTTTCTTTGTTCATCAATGTTCTACATCCTTGATGATTTGATTGCATTCCTTCAAATGTAAGCCGTCTATTACCTTCTGCTAGATGAGCTGTTTTTCTGGTGGCTTGCAAGCTCTTTAAACTTTGAACCCTGATAACTTAATTAAAGAACTGAGAGTTACAATTGAACTTCAAATTGGAAATGAAGAGTATCTTGACTGCAAATTTCTTTGTGTTTGACATATCACATTCATTTTCTTGCTTGGTGGGTTTAACTATACAGGCAGTTGCTGCTGGAAGTTTGGTTAACCTCGCAACAATTTTGTACTTAAATTCTTTTGCGGTAAGTGACACATCCTTTTGTTCGATTGAAATGATTGTTTTTTATGCTTGATTTACGTCTTTGATTCACTAAGATATCTCTTCATTTTCAGATTCCTGCAAAGATAGCATATCTAGCGTGTGCATATTTTGGGTTACAAGTTCTAGTGGGGGTTGTGAAAGTTAAGAAATTAGATCAACGGGAGAGGTTGATCACTGGAACTGCATAGAAAATTGGTGAGTTTTTTTAATTTATTTTTTATTTCAATTTCCTCCATTTTGCTGTTTTTCATGTCACCTGCTGGTAATAATATATGATTATGGCTTTTATTAAATGCACTTGATTGACTATGTTACATCAGAGGATAGTTTTATTATTGTTAGTTGTTTTGAAAAGGGTTCAACGGTTATGATGAAAGACTTTCAGTCAAGGTATTTGTAAAAATGTTCAAAAGGGACAGTAGCGCGTTTTTGAAAAGTCAAATGTTGTGCAAAATATATGAATGGTTGATTGAAGGAGCGATTATACTTTTGAAACCTTGTTCCCCAAGGTGCAGTGCGTTGGTTGAAAATTTAACAAGTTATTGTTGGTGACACTTGTAAAGTTCATGAACTGTTCAATAGTTGTCATGTTTGAAGTTAAGCTATAAAGCCTCATTAGTTCTAGTCTAGTTTACTGCATATCAGGGACTTTTGGCCGGATTGCTCTATGGGAATTAGGCTGTAGACCTGTAGTTAAGTTCTTAAACTTAATCAAAATGGTAAGAGGTATCCTGACCAGAATTGGCCACTTAAAGCTATACCTGAACAACCAAATCAGAAATCCATGGTTGGGCATCAACGAGGAGTCAACAGCTCCTTTTTGAGCTCAGCAAATAAGAGCTAGTGTCATCCACACTCTCTTCTCCCAAGAAAATCACTTTCCATCCTTGATTTCCCGTGAACTTTGTGGTCATGTATCAGTTCCAAGTGTCTTGCAGTAAACATACTGCTTAGAAGAAGTCTTGCATGTTTGTCATGTGGGCATATGCGCTGTCTACAGTGTCCTTATTCCACTTATGATAATAAGCTAATGTTCTTACATGAATGTAGATTATAAATTGTGAAATAAGAAAGCAAGAAAAGTGTATAACCTTTATTATATTCAACCCAGGCACATGTGCATTCGTGTATGACTGTTTAACGCCTTTTGTAATGCGAGACTTGTCGCTGTATTCATTGTGTAGTGCTTTATCCGTATGTAAGTGAATATCCACTTGGACTGTTGTGCAGATCCAAATTGGAATCTGAGAATAGACTGAGATCTGTGCAGACGAACTGCGACTTCCTTGGCTCCTGCACAAACCGAAAGAAGTGGAAGGATAGGAGAATTGTGCTTCATTCTTTACCATTAGGATATTGCAAGGAGCTGCGTTATCTAATTTACTAACAATAACTGAGATCCAGGCAACTTAACAAGGTGTAACGTGGGTGCTACACATCTCCCATCAAATTTTTGTATTAGGACAGGCAATGGCGGTTGGCATGAGTCACCGAACGTCTAGATAATTGTCTCTTGGAGTTCATTCATGGCGGGCTATTTATTGCTGTCTGACTGCTTTCCGCCATTCGCATAGGTGTAAGTGTAACATTGTATAAATAGTTTGTGTAAAGATGAAGATGACCTTGCAGGCAAGTTTTTCATCTTCATAGATGTACTTATATGTTGTTGTATAGCATATATATTGTAATTAGTTGCTCATTGCAAATCTTGTACCAACACCTATAACAAACACCCAAACGCTTCGTTTATGAAATCTTTGGATCCCTGGTTTGGGTAGCGTCATTAAATTCAAATTGCTCGACTCGTTATTCATCTTGATAGAAAATATTGCCATGATAAAATGATTTTCCTTACTACATGAACCCTTCATGTATTTTAATGCCAACTTGCAGTAAGAGACCAATTCCCTTCATTGGAGATATTGAGTTGTACGTACTTGTCCGTAGCTTTGATGTCCATGTGCTGAAACCTATTTAAAAAGGATTTCTCTGCATATTGTGTGTGGAAGTATGACAATTCTTTTCCATCTTTGCTTTCATGCTGTCTTTAAATAAATTTTCTTCTCTCTCCATTAATTTCTCTTTCCTTAGTGGTTATATCCCACAATATATAAATGTTGTCTAACTCGAGAAATATGGTGAAATGGGAGCAATTTGAACCCGAAAATTGAGAAAAGAAATCTTTGTAATGTTTTTGTTTGCCGTGATGGACGACGGATTGAAAGGGAGTCAGTCCTCTAAAGAGAGTTTAGAGAAATTTTATCTCGGGCCACAAAAACCTATAATTGATTAGACAATCTATATAATGTTTGATGAACAATCAATAAATGAGGACAAACATTCTCGTCATGTGTATGAACAATTTCTAATAATATCCCTTCTACGACATCCAAGAACCATGTCCCATGACTATGCAAGAAGCTTCCAAGAAAATGTCGCATCATACAATAATAATGATTTAATAGTTTCAAAATTCAGGGTGGTCGCACTTGTAGTTTTAAGCCTTTTTTTTTTTTTAATAAATCAATGGTATTCGTTAACTCAATCTATAATTTGACAGTGCATTCACACTTCAATCTGCTAAGTAATTAAGGTAGTCATGCCTAGCTTTTATTTATTTTTGATACAGACGGTTAATTATTTTATTTGTTGTACCATTTTAGTTTATATAAACACAAATAGAATAGATGGGTAACATTTTGTTGTCATCAATTTCAATTTACTTGCTGCCATTCTAATGAAAAATAAACCTAACAATAGTACGCGATGAATATGGCAATTTTTGCTTCAATGATCCATGAAATACTTGGTATATATCTGCCACTTAATTAAGAGTAAATCTCATTCTAGCAAGTCATTATGCATACTTCCTAACTCCTTGTCGAATTAATAATTATTTTATACTTGTTCCCTCTTTTCTAATTTTGTTTTCCCCCTTTTGATTTCATAATCGTCATCTTAAACCAATAATCTTTGCAAAATAAAAACAATGACACTGTTATATATGGTAGTACAAGTTAAATATATGACACTGTTATTTGTCGAAAAGGAAAATCGTACCTCATTTATAAAGCGACCAAATTTTGTGTGCTTCTATTACAACTATATTCTTTTTATGTGCATTTTCCTTTTGCGGAAAAGAAATCGGACGTATAAACTATATGCATCCGAAATCAAAATTATCTTGTCAAAGGAACGCATATATTACTTATTAGAAGTACTATTACTCACGTGTGGCGGTCCTGCTAATCTAATGGTTTCTCAAAGAAATCAAAATCACGGTTTCATTATGGGGCCAAGAAGGTCAAATATTAGTCAAATTAGCGTAACCTACGTCATTTGTGTACCGATAACCGAAGTTTAGTCTGATGATCCGATTGTTCTTGACTTCTTGGTTAAATTGTTACGTTAAAACTGATAGTCGGTTAAAAAAATTTTACAAAATGAGAACCTAAAATGAGTATTTACCCCGTCACCGAAACCTTTCAAGTGGATTACATACATTCTATATAAGTGTAAATTCTACATCCGCAACGGGTCTCTTCCCTTTGGTTAATTACGTACGTTTCCATATTGCTGATCTCAACTAATAAGCATTTCTAGATATTAATATTACTGAGTTCTGAATCTAAATCGCAATCTTAAATATGAAAGCATTTTGGAACTAAATAGAATACTTCCTCCATTTCAAAATATAAGATACTTTAGACTTTGCACGTATACTAAGAAGACAATTATTTAATAATTAATTTGTGTGTTAAATATCTATTTTACCCATCATTAATTATTTTGGAACTATAACCAAAAGTAGATGAAAAGTGGTTAGTGAGTGTCAGTTATTCGAGACAAAGTTGAAATGTTAATCTTTAATTTGTTTTAAAATTCTAAAACGATCACCATTTTGAAATATTTATCTAAACTTAAAACGAACTAAATTAAATGGAGAGAGTAATAATGATATTTTAGTCCTAGAAAAGCACAAAGACATATATGCATGTCCATTGTGTAACGTATATAGTTTAGCGAGGAAAACAACAAAAGAGCAGCCAACCCATTATCTTGATCATCGAGCTTTGTGTTGTGGAATCACAAGACAGCTCAAAACGCCCTCTCAACACTTGGACATCATACATATAATTAACACACACTCACACAGTGCCACTCATAAGATATCATAATCAATTAATCAAATCATCTTCTCCTCTCAAAAAATCGTAAATGCATTTTTTTCTCCCTAGTATTTGACGCCTTTTCATATCTGCTAGTCTATTAGAAGAAGGCCAACATCAATTCCAGATCGACCAAATCCCTTACACCAGAAAGTGTACTCAAAATGAGAATCCAAAAAGGAATGAAAATTTCACGTCTCAATCTCCTCCTTATTGCTATCTTGATCTCATGTTTGTTGGTAGTGACTCATGGGAAAGATGAGATCAGTACAAATGAAATGGTGGTAGCAAGTACTCCAACAAATCCAACTAAAATGGTGAGTCTTTCTTCTTTCTACCTGTTTCTTTCTCCGACCATTAATCGATCTGTTACGGAAAAATAGTCCACTCTGTTGAAACGTATCTAACCTGACGAAATATATTTCGCAGGGAAAAGCTGGTTGTGATGAGGAAGGTAGCAATGGTGAGAAGTGCAAAGATGGAAGCGAGAGAAGTGGTATAATTAGTGGTTCAGAAGATCATAATGGTTTAGAGGTTGAAGACTATATCTACACACAGTCCCTTCCTTGAATATTAGGTTTTTTCAGATTATCATCGGTTTTTTACTTGATTTTCAGTAAATCTGGTGGTCATCCATGTTGTAATGTTCATCATTATGAAGGGAAAAAGCAACGGAAAAAAAAAAAAAATTTCCTGACTAAAGAAGAAAATTACTACTATTAACTTTTCGTGGTATATCTATTTAAACTATTAATCGATTTTTAGATCTCTCTTCTATTTACGCGTTTTGGACGAGAATTCGCTCTCGTTACAGAAAATTGATATTTTCTTTAGTTTTTCTTTGGTGAACGAGGCGGTTTAACTTTTAACTAGTGGAATTTTGTTGTTACATTTTTAGCAAAACGGACAAAAGAGAGAAAGTAATTTCCCTTTTTGGATATAGAGTTAATTTTTAGAGGTTTTTTGTAATGTCTACGTGGACTGGATGGCACTCTCAATTAACCCCCAAAAGCTACAATTACATTGATACAGATGGAAATTGTGACCCCGTGGTTCATTGTTTCCCTCGTGGCAAGAAATTGTGATCCATCTGACCTGATTCATTAATGATAAAATCATGCAAAAAAAAAAAAAAATGATATTATTTCAGGCACTATTGTCGTAGTTTGGACGATATAACGCAATCCATTTTCAAGAAAACTAACTGGGGACATTTTTTTTATCCGACCTATCACCCTATAAATAAAATAACTAGTTTATACCTGTACGTTGCACGGATTCAAATTTATCCTAATTAAATATTACGAAACAAAACTTTGCAATTAAGTTAAATGGTCAAATTCTGCACATAAGATTCTTCGTCCTATTACCAAATTCTCCTTTGTTGTACATGAGTACTTTGAAAATTCTCTAGATTTCACCTTAGTACTTTAAAAATTCTCTAAATTTCACCTTAGAAAGTACTACATAAAATTATCTATGGACAAATATTGGATGCTGGAAAAATAACACTTGGTCTTGATTCTTATTTGTTGTCATAATAAAACACGTAACAACTACAAATTGTCTTCTCTTGAACCTATCTAGTTCTTATGGCCTACGGGATAAGTGTCCCCAGGTGTTATGAACAAGTTTCTTTGATATTTGCTTCGAAAATAATAGTTGACAGGATGACTCACTCTCCAATCTGTTTACTTAAAATTTGGTACCTTTGCATATTCCATCTGGCTAATCTATATTTTGGAGAAGCATGATCAATACCGTTTTTTTCATTTTCAACTTGTGGTTCGGCGTGCTAGAAGATCTCGTCCCATTGCGGAAGTCATTATAATATGCATTTTACAAATTTGTTTAATCAGGTCTAAAATTTTAAAAATATGTCTCTCGCCAGAAAAAAACATAATGGATCAAAAATTCACTTAACTAATTATTAGGATTGCAATCTTGTTTATTCAAAAAAAAAAAAAGGATTGCAATCTTGTCATTTTTTTAAAGATATAATTTGCTCCTTACTCTAAAATTTTTAGGAACAATTTAAATTCATTATTGAATTTATTTACTATTCTTAGTTATCCCTCGGGCCTCAAAGGTGTTCTTTGTATGCAAAAAAAAAAAAAAAGAAAAAGAAAGAAAAAAAGAATAAGAATAAGAATAAAAATTATGCCAATTACTTATTACAATATGATATCGTCATTTTCTTTGAAACTTTCAAGTTATTTTAACATTTACTTCAATCTTCTTACGAACCTTTTATATGAAACACTTTTTTTTTTTGGTGAAATGTAAAAAGTTTCATTAATCAACCAAAATGACCAAAATAAAGTCTCTGCTTTACAACTGTTACCATTCCCTACTACTCCGCTTTATACATTTGGTATTTACACTCAAAAACAAAACTACATCTGACTGAGGACAAACTGTCTAAATATTGAAAAACAGTTTCGATATATCATGTTCTGCACTGGTCCATGCTCTCTTCTTGCTGCCCAAAATTCTGTTCCGGATCTCCTGTTTAATCACAGCCAATAAGTTCTGCACATCCATTGTCTTGGCCACAAAAATTCTCCTATTCCTCTCTTCCTAGAGATGATAAACACATGCTGCAAAAGCAGCTAGAAATATATTTCTTTTCAGCTTGGCTCCTCTCCACAAGTGCATCATCTGCCTTTACTATCTCTCCGAACTAGCAACTACTTTTCTATTTCCCAACCAGTTTCTCAATTCCTCCAACAGTTGATAAGAAAAAGCATATTCAAAAAATAAATGTTTCACTGATTCAGAACTAACATTACACAGAACACAAGATCCATCAGAACTCACAGGATATTAAACAAAGTCATTCTATCCTTAGTTAGAATCCTTTGTTTCCATACCAACCAATTTACCACAGCATGTTTTGGTATTTTCTGGGGAGACCAGATGCATTGAGCTCCTTGCAGCTTAGACTTTCCACCCATTAACCACTCATACCCTGAAGCAATGGTATACTTACCATGGGCATTTCCCTTCAATTTGTTACCAGCAAATCCACTCCTTGCTTGATCTCTAATCTTTAAAACTTGTTTCCAGTGCCAGCTACTATCAACCCTTGGTCCAACATCCCAAATGCTTGAAGATTTGATGTAGACATAATGTACCCATTTGATCCATAGGCTATCTGATTTCAGAGCCAAACTCCACGCTTGTTTTAATATGGTAGCTCTATTTCAAATGTTGGCATCCCTTATTCCAAGTCCCCCCTCTGATTTCTTTCGGCAAACATCTTCCCACTTCACCAAAGCCAGAGATCGATCACTATCCCTTTTCCCCCATAAAAAATCTTTACAAATTCTATTCACCACATTAGTGGTACTTTGTGGCAATATAAACACTGAACCCCAATATACATGCATGGCCATGAGAACAGAGTTAATCAATTGAGCACGACCAGCATAGGATAAACTACGAGTACTCCAACACTTAATACGGGCAGTAATCTTATTAATAATTTCCTGACACTCCACATGAGACCATTTTTTGGTGAAAAAGTTACTCCTAAATATTTCATAGGAAACTGACCTGGTCTGAACTGAGTTCTTCTGCAAATCCAGTCCTTCATTTCAGCAACACCACCAAAGTAAATTTTTGATTTCTGTGGATTTGGCTTTAAACTAGGGCTGTCAATATCTGACACGACTCGGAATTTCGACACGAACCCGACACAAAATGATCTGACACGAACACGACACGTATATTAAACAGGTCGGGTTAGGGTTGGAAATTTAGACCCGTTTAATATACGGGTCGGGTTAGGGTCAACCTGGCGGGTTATCCAGGTTACCTGTGAACATGTAAATTTTGTATACTATAGGGGCAATTTGGAAATTTTGTAACAAAATAACCCTAATTTTACCCCATATATATACCCTCTTCCATCTCCCTCAGCTACTCTTCTCCTCACTCCTTTTTTTTTCTTTTTCTTTCCTCTCTTCCTCTGCCTCTCGCTCGGCCGGCGGCCGCCTCTTCTCCTCTCTCCTTTTTTTTGTGTTTCTTTTTCTTTCCTCTCTTCCTCTCTCTCTCGCTCGGCCGCCTCTTCTCCTCTCTCCTTTTTTTGTTTCTTTTTCTTTTTTTTTGTTTTCTTTTAATTTTCCCTTCAATTGAAACCTTTCTTGAAAGATCTGATAAATGGGGCATCTGATCTGTGACTTTCAGTCGAAAAGTTCCGGCGTTCGGGCGGCGAGTTGCTGCGGGAATGCAGTGAAGAAAAATATGATTTTAGTTTTCAAAAATTTTAGTATTGGTTCCGTGTATTTGTGTTTTTCTATATACCAGAAGTTTGTAATTTGGATTTAATTTTGTAATTTGAATACTAGTTCTTTACTTGTTTGGACTTTGGATCAAGGTGTTGTAATTTATGTGATTTGAAACTGGAATTTTTAGATTTTTTTGGAACTGAAATTTTAGTTTTTCTTGATTTTAGATTTTTTTTTTAGAATTTCGGGTTAACAGGTCGAGTCACGGTGACCTGAATATTTTCAGGTCGGGTTAGGGTTCTAAAACTCGACCTGTTTATTTATATAGGTCGGGTCCGGGTTGGCTGAATATTATTCGGGTTCGGGTCCGACCCGACACGCCAACCCAGACCCGACACGGATTGCCAGCTCTACTTTAAATCAGTAACTTGGGAAAACTAACTGAAAACTTGTTGAATACCATCAATTGTAGCTTCATCAGCTTTGGAAAAGACCATAAGGTCATCTGCAAAACAAAGGTTGATTATTTTCAACTGAGCACACTTGGGATGATATTTGAACCACGACTGTTGAGCTAGCATCTTCAAGCTTCTTGTCAAGAATTCCATTGCTAGGACAAATATAAGGGGAGATATGGGATCTCCCTGCCTTAATCCCCTCTTTCCATGGAAAAATCCTATATAACTTCCATTAATAGACAGTGTATATGAGGTGGTAGTTATGCAAGCCATCACCCACTGTCGAAATAACTCAGGGAAGCCAAACCCTTCTAGTAACTCATCTAAAAAATCTCATTCAATAGAATCATAAGCTTTCTAAATGTCTATTTTCATCATAACCCTATCACTTTTCCCCTTCCCCCTATAAAGCCTAATAAGTTCTTGAGTAATCAAAATGTTATGCAAAATGAGCCTGTTTTGCACGAAAGCACTTTGATTCTCATTCATTAAAACGGGCAATAAAGGCTTTAACCTATTACACAAGATCTTTGAAATGCATTTATATACAATGTTGCAGTAGGCAATAGGCCGAAACTGCGATGCATTTCTTAGGTATAGGTACTTTAGGAATTAAAGCTAAAACAATAGAGTTTAACTGAGGGAGTACCTGACCTTGATCAAAGAATTCCAGTACAGCATTAGTAACATCTTTCTCCACTATGCTCCATGCTGATTTGAAAAACCCGGCTCCAAACCCATTAGGACCCGGACTCTTGTTGTTATCCATTTCCCACAACAAAGCTTTCACTTCCTTACTGTCCACCGGTTTAATCAATTTCAACTTTTGTTCTACTGTCAGCTTTAAACCACAAAGGAAGACTCTTGGATCAGCCTTTTTCCTCTCAGAAGAATGGCCCAACTGCTGCTTGAAATAATCGATAAAATGTTCCTCAATCTTTTCCCAGTTACTAACCACTTCACCATTCTGATCTACAATCGAAC